TAACAACTGCAGACCCAATAGGCAAAGAAAATGAGGGAAGCAAGGCTTGTAGGGAAAGGCAAGGTCTTTTATCAGGACAGCTGTAATGAGAAAGAAAGTAGGAGAACCTTTTAGATTTAGAACCCATGGAGTTTTACACATCAGACCCTGAGGAAGATCATTCACCACCCTGTAATGTCCTTGTGCATGCACAATGCAGGCTCTAGTGTCTCTGTCTAACCATTACCTTAAATGGGAAAATACCTTAAAAACATAAGTACTGAGGACCAAACTAGTATTCTTCCTTTCCCCTGTCTTTGCTAATCTAAATGGGAGCTGAAGGCATTTAGCTTGATGTGAAGCAAAAAAAAAAAAAAGATAAATATTTTACATGACAGGCACAATTAATAGAAAGAAATTAATGAGCTGCCGTTTAGTGAAATGAGACCAACACAGAAATGAAAGCACATAAAATGGATCCTAAGAGATTAAATAGAGAAAGAAGCTAATCACACAGCACTAGAGTTGCTACAAGAGTCACTGCTGCGTGCTGGAAAGAACGGACAAAGATGAGCTGAGCTTCACAGTGCCAGTCTATCCATCCTCTGCTGTGCAGGACTGGCGTCACAGTTGGAAGCCACACCGAAGAACTGCTCCCACTTTCTTAAGATAGCATTTCCATTTTGTGCCTCAGTGGAAGCACTTCTCCCAACTCCTACTCTCCCTGTCCTAATATGTACCTGCTGGAACAATAAGTCCTGTTACTTATCATTAACCATACATGACAGATCTTATCCTAAGCTAGTTTTAGACACTGCTTGTTTTGCCTTAATGGGTCAGGCCACTACATCATTTATACCATCCAGCCTAGCAATTTTAGTAATATTTCCTGAACTGCTTGGCTTTGAACCATGTGCCACAACAGAAGATCTACAGCTTTCTGTCCTGTCACCCCAGAAGCCCTGAGGGACATCTGTCACAGTGAAGGCCTGGCAATCCACTGCAGCAAGGAGCACTCCCCCATGCTAGAAAGGAACAACAGGTCCCTTTCCCCCAGCTGCAGGCATCACGGAGCCATAAACAATACTTGTTTATACACAAAACTCTCAGTGCTCAGTAACACGAAGGTGTCAGGGGTAGGAAGGTGCCCACCGAGCCCTCACTCAAGTGCCAAGCCCTGCCCTGGCCCACAGAAAGGGCTCTCTGAGGACACGGTCCCACCCAGCACTGCAGCATTTAAAGCAGAAAGGGACGCGTACGAGACCCGGGATGGGGCCGGGGCCACGCTCGCCGCCTTCCCTCACGACAAGCCCAGCCGGAGACACCCGGGGCTGCACCCGCGCCGTCCCGAGCAACCGCAGCCGGGGCAGAGCGGCCGCACCCGCAGACCCGGGCTCCGGCGGCGGCCTCAGCACCACGGACAGCGGCAGGGCCGGAGCCGCCCTCGCCCCCGCTCCCCGTCACCTTTCCGGATGAGCTCCTCGCTGTCCGGCTCGTAGCCCGCGCGATGGCAGCGCCTCCAGAGCCCCGACACGGTGGAGTTGAAGCGGCGGCCGCAGTGCGAGTCCAGAGCGGCGGCGGCGGCGGCTGCCGGGGCAGGGGCCGGGGGCCGGCCGGGCAGCAGGGCCCGCGGGGGCCGGGCGCGGAGCGGCAGGTGCGAGCTGGGCGCCGACATGGAGCCGGGCGGGTCGCTGCGCTTGTGGCCGAAGCCGCGGCAGCGCTCACGGTGCCGCCGCGCGTCCGTCTCGTACCAGGAGTCGGTGCCGATGGCCACGGCCAGGAGGGCGAGGGCAGCGGCGGCCAGCAGCAGCCCGGAGCCGCTCAGCGCCTGAGCCGCAGCCGCCATCTTACCGCGCCGGGGGCGGCAGGGGCGGGCGCTTCCCCTGCAGCCCGGCTGGGGGCCTCCGCCTGCGGCGCCGCCCCCGGAAGGGAAACGGGGCCAGCGGGAGCCGGTCCGAGCTCGGTACCGCACCGGTGCAGCCCCCAGGGCGCTCCAGGCGCCGGCTCAAAGGGGTCCCGGGGCCGCTCCTCGCCGTAGCCCCCGCGTTGCTCCGCGGCACGAGGTCCCTCATGGCCTGCGCTCGGGGCAGCGGCCGCGCTAACGGGCAGCAACGGCGCGGCCCGTGTGGAGCCCGTGCGAACGGGGCCCGACCGTGCCGGCGGCCTCCTCTTGCCCGGGACTCGGCCCTCCGAGGCCGGAGCTGCCGTGTCCTGGCAGCACTGGCCCCACGGGATCGAGCCGTTCTTGAAGCGTAGCTGAAATACAAACACACTGGCGGCAGCGGCTGGGTTAGTACTTCTCCTCAGCCCTTCATTACCAGTTAATGGAAAACAAGGCCTAAAGAGCTGAAAAATGCCAATCGAGTTTATGCAATGAGAAGCAGGCTAAAGCCAAGCCATTAGTTAAATGCAGCATTTCCAAGGGCACAAAATCCTTTGTGATCCTGGTTGTTCCATGGGACTTACTCCTCCGGCTGCAGCAGTATTGGTCTCCAAGGCCAGTTGTTAGGTTATTGCGTTTTCAGTTCTGGCCTCTAGCTAAAATGATCTAGTGATACAGTAAGTCTAAACCGCAAATTTAATGTGTTAAAATTATAGAATCACAGCATGGTTTGGGTTGGAAGGGACCTTAAAGCTCATCCAGTTCCAACCCCTGCCACGGGCAGGGACCCCTTCCACTAGAGCAGGTTGCTCCAAGCCCCTGTGTCCAACCTGGCCTTGAACACTGCCAGGGATGGGGCAGCCACAGCTTCTCTGGGCACCCTGTGCCAGCGCCTCAGCACCCTCACAGGGAAGAATTTATTCCTAATAGCTAATCCAAACGTCCTTTTTGTCAGCTTAAATCCTTCCCCTTTGTCCTGTCACTGCATGCCCTCATAAAGGTTTCCTCCTTAGTTTTGTTAAAAAGGAGCATGACCAGCAGGTTGAAGGAGGTGATCCTGCCCCTCTACTCTGCTCTTGTGAGACCTCACCTGCAGCACTGTGTGCAGTTCTGGTGTCCTCAACATAAAAAGGACATGGAACTGTTGGAACAAGTCCAGAGAAGGGCCATAAGGATGATCAGGGGACTGGAGCACCTCCTGTATGAAGACAGGCTGAGAAAGTTGGGGCTGTTCAGCCTGGAGAAGAGAAGGCTGTGTGGAGACCTCATAGCAGCCTTCCAGTATCTGAAGGGGGCCTATAGGGATGCTGGGGAGGGACTCTTCATTAGGGACTGCAGTGACAGGACAAGGGGTAACGGGTTAAAACTTAAACGGGAAGTTTAGATTGGATATAAGGAAGAAGTTCTTTACTGTAAGGGTGGTGAGGCACTGGAATGGGTTGCCCAGGGAGGTTGTGAATGCTCCATCCCTGGCAGTGTTCAAGACCAGGTTGGGTCAAGCCTTGTGTGGCATGGTTTAGTGTGAGGTGTCCCTGCCGATGGCAGGGGGGTTGGAACCAGATGATCATGAGGTCCTTTCCAACCCTAACTATTCTATGATTCTACTTTAAATTGTTCCCCAGAAAAGAGCAACTGTTCAACTGCAGGAGATTCAGAATCCCCCCCCCGTCACTTCTTGGTCTCTCAGCCTAAATGTCCTCCTTAGGACTTCTCCAGGGACCCTGCCCAGAACAGGGTACTACCACTGTCCCCAGAGCACTAAGCCTGATGGAATCATGCAAGAACCACAGCTAAAGCTTGTTTTAACCACATTTCAGCATGATCCTCTTTAGTAGTTTGCCCTGGACAGATGAGATTAGCATCCATGCAGCTGCACATTAGTGCCTTCAAGGCAGACAAATTGAAAAGGGCTGCTGTCAAAAGGATTTTCTTACACATTGTCTTCTACATCAAGAATGGAAAAAAAATAATCACATACAATCACTCTTCTAGATAATATGGACAAATCTTTCCATTATAACAGCTCATTCCTGGAAAAATCCCAGTGTTCGTGCTTCCTAAATCTGCAATCCTGTTGTGACACCCTACTGTCTACATTAGTTCCTCGGGCTATAGTTTTAGAAGACAGAAGCTTCAGCAAGATAATCACCCTATAATGTTCTCATGTATGAGACTCCTTCCATTTGCTCTCTGTGCTGCTGCAATTGTCAGAGCTGCACTTTGTGGAGCTGATTAATCCGTGCTAATTTTGATTGCTTTTGAGAAAGGGGGAGGGAAGCTCATAGCACAGCCCTGCAGGCAGAGGTACCAGCACAGCCAGAGTATGGCAATGCCAGGGACAGAGATTCCAAAATGTAGATTGCTGGCAAAACCCCCAGATGGTGAAATGATGCCCTTGAGCACCTACCTGTCTTCATCTTCCAGACCTTGGGTTATGGTTTTCCTCCTTCCTAAGAGCAACTTCTCGTAAGAACCAAGAACCATGTACTACCATTCAGTATTTATACGCTGAAAATCTTCCAGATGAAGAGTGGGATAAGACATGCTCTGAATCCATTTTCGAAGGGTAGAGAAAATCCTTTTAGCTCTTCCTGGACTACACAGAACATTTAATGAACATGCCTTTATGCCACATGGCAGGTAACCAGCTTAATGTTAACTGCTCATGGCAGTGGGGCTGGAACTAGATGATCTTAAGGTCTTTTCCAACCCTAGCTATTTTTTGATTCTATGATACCAGATAGAGTAGTTTAGATGAAGAAAACAACCAATCATAACAACATATGGTTGCAAAACTCTGGACAATCACCATGCAACCTCTCCCCTCAAAGAGGAGCAACTCACTTGGGGATGCTTTTCAGGGAAGCCAGACTAGCAGCCAAGAAATACAATCAGACCCAACCACTTCTGGCTCTCAATGCCACAGCAGTTGGAACAGGAAACTGGATTAGACCCTTTTCTTTCAGTTGTGAAAGTCTGAGGAGTAGAAAGGAGGGCAAGACGGAGCCCAGACTTCTCTAGACTAACCCAGAGATACTGCTCTGTAATTCAGATGAAATTCAAATTGAATTTGTAATTCAAAGAAAAAACATCAGCTTAAACAAAAGAAAAAAAAAAAGAAACAGAAAAAACCACAAACCCACATGGAAAACCATTTATTTCATCTCTATTGTCTCCATGCAGAGCAGACCAATACAGATGAAGGGGGAAAAATGCATAAGAGCAGCTGAAAAAATAGAGCTAGAAAATACGATTCTCTCTGCATTCCCAAAAGTGACAAATGTGGTGGAGTGATGCTCCATTTCCTCCCAAGGCTCCCTATCCTCAGCCCTAAGGCTGATGTAGTGGAAAACTAAGGAGCCCCTCCCTCCCACAAGCCCTGTGCTATGCAGGAATCTTCCCAAGAACCGCAGACTGTCCAGGTCTGTTGTGGCAGCCAAGAAAAACAACTCGGAAATCCTTTCTTCAGTGTCATCCACTTCACATTCCTGAACGCTGAGCACTGACTGTGGTTTTCAATCCTGGCAAGGCTGGGTGCTGATGCAACACCACCAACTCATGGGCACTCACCTGGCGATGCCTCAACTTAAATGCCAGCCTCATCTTGGGAAACAGAGCCACGTCTTTCCATGCAAACCTCCTTCCTCCAGACCCTACTACAGGGTCCATTTAGCTCAGCTGGAGGGACACCCCCAAAGCTAAAACTATAGGGTTAGCATATTCCCCCAGTCCCTGCAGGCTAACCAGATTAATCCTTCCAGGAAAGCAGGAAGTGGATGCTACCTTCAGACTGGAGGGAGTAGTTGGCAAAGGAAGGCAACTTTTAAAAGAGGAGTAATAAAATTACACTAATCCTCCCTCACTGTTGCAGTGAAACAAGGTACTGGTATAAGCTCGGGGTAAGGAAAGGTGAAAGCATTTTAGACAGCAGCTCTTGGGCAGAGCACTGCGAGCATGAGCTCTCCAGCGCTCGCTGGAAACTAGGACAGGAGCTGTCATAAAAAAAGAACTGTGTCAACAGTTCAGGAATTGCTTCAGGAAGTAAATGCCTCTGCTGTGGGCAGCATACCTGCCTTGCTGCTCTGACCCAAATCGCCCTCTCAAGGCACGATCCCCCTTGATAAGGCTCTGTGCAGACTGGAGGGCTGTGCTGATTTACAGGAGCTGTTTAAGGACAGAGCTGAGTTGGTGCAATTCCCATTTTGGCACCTGTTCTGTGTGCAATGACTCTGCTAGTTCAATTAGACCTGTTTTTAAATAGACTTAAGCAAAGATAAGCTCTGCAGAAGGCATGGTCTATTAATTGTGCACATCTCTGTGGCAACAAAACAGCCTGTGGAATGATGGCCTGGTCAACCCTGTGAGCTGGAATGCAGGAAAGCACTAGAAATGTCATTTATTTTTATTGGTCTCAAATTGCCCAAAAATTTATCCCAAGTGTCATACAATAGAAAACTCCTCTTAAAGCACACGTATTGTAACGCTTTCTCTCCTCCTTAGCACAAAGCTTTTTCTAGACCCATTTTTTTAGCACAAAGCTCTTCCAGACCCATTTTAAAAATCTTTTCCCCAGCAGTTTCACCCTTCCCAGCTCACCTCCCTTCAGCATTCTTCACTGCTGTGCCCCTTCCTTTAAGGGCTGTCAGTATTATTTCTTATCCATTCATTCCCAACATACGAACTCCACTGTGAGGTAAGAAGCCCAGAAACAGGCTACCATCTACATTTTTGGTGATAGCATGCTCTTAAATAGGCTACACTTAACAGAAGAAAAGCTATTGGCTGCTGACCAGGCTGTAGGGTTCAGCTATTGCCCCCAGTGCCCAGACCTCTGCCATGTAGCATGCCAGGCAGGCCTAACATGCCACACTGCAAGAGAGCTCTGAAACTTGGTGTGGGGCAGATGGTGGGTGACAGCAAGCTCAGCCATGTTCAGCTAATGGTTATGAGAAGAGGGAGCTCAGTCACAACAGCTTCCTTCCAGCTGCAGGGGAGCTGGTAGCATGGCAACAGAAGAAACATTTACTGACCATTTTTCAGATAAACAGGCTGTGCTGGTATTGGAGTGGTTAGGGCTGAGGCAAGTAATCACAAAGCTGAGCCATTTAATTATAGTGACCTATCCTAAAGTGCCTCAAGCTTTTGGCTTGATTTTAACATATACAAATACAAAACAGTCCAAAGATGTGGACTGCTGAGGCTAAAACTACCTTTAGGAACAAGTGATATCAATGAAAAGCTGAAGATCAAGTTGGAAAAGGGTTCTTTCCCCTCTGTCTTGTAGCACCATGAACTCCTCATGGGGAGGGAGTTCTGGCTAAAGCTGTTGGTTTATTGTTGCTTTGCCATCTCTCTTCTGCCTCCAGCCCTTAAAAGTGGTAGGAAAAGTCCTTCCTCTTCATCAGCTACAGGAATGACCTCTGTTGTTTTCACACAAGAGCTTGGGAGGTGCTGTTCCATTAGACTGAACCAAACGAAACATTGTCCATTTGCTGTGGAGCAGTTTTCAGTTCATTTCTGCTCACTGCATCTTTTGCTCCATCAAAATAATAAAAAGGAGAAAATAAAAGGAAGCCCTGATGTGTGGATTTTAGCAGAACAGGGATAGGAGAGCCAGAGAATGAGGTCCTACACACCCAGAACTCTTTCTCACCTGCTTCTCATACTAGCAGCCAGATCTGCATACACACACACATAGGAAGTAACATTAGTGTTCCTTATTGCTTTGTAACAGCTCAGAGTCACTGTGGTGGCTCTGGGAGGCATCATGAGGTCTTCGCAGAGGTCACTCAGTTGTGAACGAGAGTAGCACCATGACTGTAATGCCGGTACACAGGAGCAGGATTTGCTGCAGGGAGTTCCTGGTAAAGAAACAGCAAAATTAGGAGGAGCCATTGACAGTCCCAGTAGGCAGCAGTGTAAAGGCTCACAAATGTTCTTTGCCCTTCCAAATCTACAACAAGGAGAACACAACAGCTGCATGAAGCCACTGACACAGCTGAGAAGACTCTTTCCCAGCACCTCAAGCAAAGCTGTCATCTATAAACTGACGTGGTTTTGTTCTGCTCAGCTGGAAGGCCCAGATTCAAGTTTCAAAAATCAATCTAAGCTGTTCATGCAGCTACCCAGGTGTATATTCCTGTTCATGCAGCTACCCAGGTGTATATTCCTGTTCATGCAGCTACCCAGGTGTATATTCCTGTCCTTTCTCTGGCAAGAGAGCCAGCACTTTTGCAGCATGTTCACAGGTACTTTAGGGACCTCATCCAGCTGACAACTAGTTATGAAAAATGAAAACAAAAGCTGATGAATTTTGCCCTTCTTTTAGCACCATCTCAGGTGTTATGCTGGACTGAAGTGACTGTGTACCCCCCGCCTCTGTGTACTCTGCCAACAGCTCTGCCAGCTGTTACCAAAGGTTACCAACCCAAAAGCAAGCTCCCAGCTTGTCATGAACATTCCTCCACTACCACTCCTCTGTGCCAGCGTATCTTAGAGTGCCTTTACTATGGTACAGCTGGATTTGGACCTACTAAAGCCTTAATCAGACCACAAGAAACTGTGATAACACAGATAAGGGGAGGCCAGATACACCAGAATATATACCAGGTTAGAAGAGAGATGACTGAGGTGGGATACAGTAACAGACTACGAAATGCTGAATGATAAAGAGAACTACGATTTTCTACTCACACAGCAACATCTAATCAAAATTAATAAGCAAGAGGCTAAAAAACAATTAAGAAGCATCATATAACACTGTGCAGTCCAACTATGCAAACTTGCTGCCAAAGAGAGATCACAGAAGCCCAAAGTAATGGATAGGATCAAAAGGGGATGAAAGCATGTGAAGGGTAGGTTCATGTGTGGTTATCAGACACACACAGCTCTATGAGGCCCTAGTTCAGATAGCCCCTAAGTCAGTACAAGCCAGAAGCTAAGACAGACTGGGGAATGGGTCACCTTGCTGGATGTTTGTGAGTAACCTGCTACATGCTGTGCCAGCACAGTCTTTGGCACTGACCCAGTTGAAGATTCTCATGTTTAATAGGGTCTCTGTAGTCCCATATAAAGGCAATACCACCCAGCACTGCAGTCTATCTAAATTCCAGCCTCACCCATGAGATTTGGAAAACTGGCACTCATGTGCTCCCAGAGCAGGCATGGGGAAGGACTGTATCCCCAATTCCCTGTCAGCAACAACTGCTGCAGCAGAACAGGAGGGAGCACTTACCAAGGATTCTTTTCCTCCAAGAGATCAGGCACAACATTTACCAAGGCAATATACAGAAATCCTCCAGAAGTGAAAGGGAGGATCCAGGCTACTGTTTCCCCTGCACAAATACAGAAAGCTTTGGTTATTACTGAGACAAAGCCATGGGAGAAAACACAGACAAGAAGGAAAAAAGACACACGGGGACTAAAGCACTCCTACAGAGGTCCCATCAGGGAGCCCTACCTGCTCCTTTTGGCGACTGAGCACATATTGCAAAACAGGCTCCTAGAATCCCTCCCAAAGCTGTGGAAAGCTGCATCTTGGCTGCACTCCAGCGGTCAAAGCCAGCCCGAAGTAGGATTGCAAAGTCTCCAACCTAAGAAAACCAAGAGCTGACAGTTAATGAATATAAATAGGAATGGCTGCCCTATCCCTGGAAGAGTTCAAAACCGGGCTGGACAGGGGTTGGAGCAACCTGGTCTAGTGGAAGGTGTCTCTGCCCATGGCAGGGGGTTGGAACTAGAGCATCCCTAAGGTCCCTTCCAACAGAAACCATGCCATGATTCTCAGTCACAAAGGTCATCCACAACAAGACCAGTGCTTCAAGGCTGTTTCTAGTTTTCCATGTCACCAGTCTTCCAGAGGAAGCAGCTTTTAAAGGGACAAGAAAATGTTAACCAGACCCAGCCCTTCTCTTAGTAGATGAAACACCCCTTTAACCTCTCACAACAGCAGAATACAAAGCCCTCTCACCTCATGTGGGATTTCATGCAGGAGAATGGCCATTGTGGTTAGGAATCCAACCTGTAGCAGAGGAGAGAAGGTGATAAGGAAACAGTCCCCCAGCTCTGAGAGATGAGGCTTTCATCAGCATGTCAAGGCCCCTTTCTCCAAGTTAAGACTTGTTACAGTGCAAATGACTAACACGACCCAAATCGGAAGAAGCTCTCCGTCAGAAGGGCTGCTTTTAACTTTAGTCTCTATTTCTCAGAAAATTTCCTTCCATTTCTCCAGAAAACAGGAGAAAACTCCACACATCTTTGGGATTTTTGCATGTTGTATCACATGTGAGAACAGACCTCTCCAGTTTAGTACACAGCTGGTGACAGAAACCTTACCTTTCTGCTAACCAGGAAGCTGGCTGCTACTGCCAGGCCGTGTGTAAAGTTATCAATGGTGTTGGCCAGCAGATTGAGGTATCCGCTAATCTGCAAAGAGAAGGAAGAGCCCCTGATAAAGGAAGAGACATAACAAGATAAAAGAAAGCCCATGGCTTAGACACAAGTTACATGGAGGCACGATCTCCTGGGAAAGGTCAGGACATGGTTCTTCTGGTGAAGATCTTAAGCTATGTCAGTGCTCAAGTATAAATTCAGTATTATGTTCATTTTGACAGTAAGCTAAGTTTTAGGGTAGGCAAGTATTGTCTGAGATGAGGATAATCATCTTATGCACATGACAGAGCTCTAGAAACAGAGACAGGAATGTGAGGAAAGCCAAAATACAAGAATGTGCCTGATTCCAAGTTGAAAACCTTGTGGGTAACCCTGACTAATTTACACAGGTGACTGGCTTCAGGTATGACCTGACCTTGCTTTCTAGTCACGTATCTGTTAAATACCTCCACTTTAAAAAGCTGGCAAGAACAATTCAACAGAACAAATGCTGCTGAAATGGCTTTTTATAACTAAACAAATCTTCAAACAACGTTCTAAAAAAGCTTGTGCTTGTGGGTTTGCTTTACCCTTAACAAAGAATAAAAAGAGAAGACAGTGATGACAGTCACCAAAAAAACACCTACTAGAGGGCTGGACAGCATGTCTCTGCATTTGCATACAAACACATTCTTAAAATTGTAAGTATAAAGCAGTTGCCATCCTCACAAGGCCGTCCCCATGTTGAGACTTCCCTATCATGCTATGGTCATCTCCAGAGAAATTCTGAGTGTTTGACCTGAAGTGATTTTCTGAGTGATTTGATCTGAAGCTCTTCTGCTCACAGGTTTCTGGGCCCTTTTTCCCCATCAGGTCTAACAAAAACTACTCTGTGTGGGTCCTGAGACACTGCAGTTTGAATTGTTATCAAATCAGGTGTTGGCCCATACATCAGACTCTCTCTGCACTGCAAGAACGAAGCTGGCATATACTAACTCCAGTTACATGGCAGCATCCAGTGAGTGGAGAGACTGTCTAGAAACTGTGTTATTGACCTCTTATTTCACCATAGCACGAGATGCCGAAGTTCAGCCAGGAAAAAACACAAGTGCCGATAGGTTTCATGAGCCCCTTCTGGTCTTCTGCTCCTCCTTGTCTCTATCAAACTCTGCTTGGGGCATCTTTTCTTCCTGCCATATGGGGCTTTCTGTCAAGTCTTTCTCTCCAACACGACACTTTTCTGCAGGGCACTTGTACTGCAGGATCTCAGGACAACTTTAGAAGCTGTAAACTTCACAAAACTGCATTGACAACTAAACTGATGACCAAATATGAAAACAAAGAACTAAGCAAAGAAGCCTACCTGCAAATCATGTTAAGTAAATAATGTAAGTAACGTCTCCACAATGGATGCTGAAGTTCCCTGCATGCTTTGGTAAGAAAGGGAACACAAAGGGATGCATGCAGGCAGACTCATAAACACAGCAGCTTTACTTCTCCCTCCTCATTTTAGTCAAATACGACTGTAATATTCCTGCTTCTCATGTTGCGAATTTATGTGATTGCTTTTTCCCCATAAGCTAGTAATAATTATTCACAGAAGTTTTACACAAAAATCTTTTCCCATACCACTGTCGAGGGAAAAAATAGACCTCATGATTAAAACATGATGACTTTTTTTTTTGTCAGTGGCTTGGGCAAAAGCTGTCACTGAAAGAAGCAAAGCCTTGGAGAGCTCAGAAATAAATTGGGTTGATGTGACAGTTATGAGTCTCTGACATTTACATTCTGTGAATCCCTAATAGGATGTTCTCATTGCTCATAAAGAGCACAGCCAGATGAAGTGTTTATGTTCATGCTTCAGAATTAATGTCACTGTGCAATAAAACACACTTCTACAAACCAGCAAGGACCTCATGTGCCATAGGAAAAAAGAAAGAATATGCAATGCAGAAGTACTGTACAATATTCTTACTTGCTAAGGGAATGAAGGCTGCAATGCAGGGCAGAACTGATCTATGTTTGGGTGCAAAGGAAGCCTCCCACCTGCAGTTTTCAAGCTAGGACAAATTATTACAGCAGCAGCCGTAGAGCAGAAGATCTAATATAAATGGACAAAGGACGGCCAACAGCTTACTAGTCATTAAGCCCTGAAAGGCAACTATTTTTGTTTAAATATTATATTGCCTTTTTTGTTTCCTGAACACAAAAAAGGGGATTACAGAGCAAACAGCAGAAACCAAGAAGCCTGGCGTGCCACAGCTTCTGTCTTTTATTTGTAAGCACCTACTTTGCTCACTTCCAGCAATGCTGTTCCCTGTCTGTCCCTTCCCCACCCTGCACTGCGTGAGAGTTACTTCCCCAAACCACAGGGGCAGTGAGACCTACCTGCTGCTCTGCCAACCAGCGGGACCTACCAAGCAGCACCTAAGTTCTGCCCCAGTCTGTCAGTAGGACATTAGTTTGCATTCCTCCTCTACCACCATGCTGATTTTTATGGAGCTTGCAGGAATTTGATTACCCTCAAGACTTCTCTCCTCTCTTGAACTCGAGCAAAATTAATTATGGGTTCAAAAGTTATTGAAAATGAAGGGCAGAACAGATGGACAGACAGATGGAATGACTGCTTATGTTGTTGCCTAAGGAAACGGGCTAACAACGGAGGAAGATCTCGGTGGTTTTGGTAATTTCCGCCCTGCCAGAAAGGCTATTAAAATATTGAGGTGATATGCTCTGAAAGCACAAAGTTAAAACTGCATGTTAACTCGTTGGTTTCTGTTTCATGCACATTGACAAGAGCCAATAGACTGAGAAGGGCTCTCCATGGTTATCTAGACCTTCTACATAACATAGCTGAAAGAATCTCATTCAATTTATGCACGAAGCCCATCGTTTCTTAAGCTATAGCATACTTTGTAGGAAGTGGCTTAAATCACAGCTTAATGTCCACAAGCAACAAAGAATCTACTATGTCTCTAAAGTAAGCTGGTCCACAGGGAAGTTACCCTCAGTTACAGTTGTCTTTGATTTCTAGTCTGCTACTGTTTGGTATAGCTTTAACTACTGAAATTTAGTCATACCTCTTACATGGGTGTTAGTATCCTTTAAGTCAGCCCTGATCTGTTACATTTTCAGAGCTAAAGTCTAAAGAAAGCCACTTCTTATCACATACAGCAAACCTAAAATAATTATTTCAGCTCCTTCCTGACCCCTTTAGTAGTATTTTGGATATTGTGAATAACACTACTGGAAAAAGACAGATAGCTGTTTCATTACTGCTATACAGAAAGAGGAACACTTGCCTCTTCTCTTAGATACTATTTCCTACTCACCCATCCTCCTGGTTATAGCATCATAATGGAAGAATGTGTTCAAACAGTTTCCTACTGTGATTCTCATACCTTTTTCCAAGGCATTGACTTGCTAGAAACTGTCCCTCTCTTGTAAGTATGATCTGCATTCTTTCTAATCTATTCCTTAATATTTGCATGGATCAAAACATGCTAAAAATCCAGCTCTTTTGATGAGTTACTCTGTTTAGCCAATATCACTGACCTCATGCAGCCACAATGTGCCACTGATGTAGCAAGGGTTTTATAAACAATCACTTAGAAGAATCATAAACCATCAGTAAACAAATGTAAGGGAGGCTGCATTAATCCAGTCTTTGATATTACACAATCACTGATTTTTAATGGAGCTAATATTAGCAAAGTTGATTTCATGCAGTACTAGTTTTATTAGAATGTGGGAGAAAGTTATGTTTTCTATTCATTTCTCAGCATCATTACCTTCATCAAACAATCTCACAACTGAATAAAAGGCAGGGAAAAAATGTTTGGTTGACAAGAATTTATCTTCCATAAAATCTTACCAATCAATATTAATTTCATTATATTTTTAAAATGAGGACCAATCCCTGAGCAATTGTATCCCCCATCAGTGTTTCCTTCTACTTGCAATCACTGGTAAACTAATCAACCTCCAAGTCTCTGGTTCCTTATATAGACCTTTCTAAAATCATGGCACGGTGTTTCATAACTCAGTAATACTGGTTTCTCTTTCTCTATCACCTCTAGAACACAGCACCCTGCAGCCTGTGCAGTGTCTGTATAGGTTATATGAATGCGACAGACTCAAAGATTCCCGGTGATCTCAGCGTATCTTCCACATCGTGTAGTTATGAAGAGCTATGAAGTTACAGCAAAATAGATTTAAAATAGAAAGACTGAAGAGCCTCTGACCGACCACATATCCAGGTCTGGGCTAGTTCATGCAACCACACTTTCTGTTCATAGTCACTCTCCTTCCATCCTGCACATTTTTAATGGGCTTTCCAACTCAAATTATAGGCCCTACTTCACCAAAGCAGTCATTTATTCTCTCGCTTGTAATGTTCACCCAGACAAGGGTTTCCACAGTGCAAAGGTAGTACCATAAAACTGAAAGCAAAACCAAGCTAAAGGTTAGCCCAATGGCACAGTACTCATTTTGAAGAGTACTCATTTATGAAGACAGGCTGAGGAAGTTGGGGCTGTTCAGCCTGGAGAAGAGAAGGCTGCGTGGAGACCTCATAGCAGCCTTCCAGTATCTGAAGGGGGCCTATAGGGATGCTGGAGAGGGACTCTTCATTAGAGACTGTAGTGATAGGACAAGGGGTAACGGGTTAAAACTTAAACAGGGGAAGTTTAGGTTGGATATAAGGAGGAAATTCTTTCTTGTTAGGGTGGTGAGGCACTGGAATGGGTTGCCCAGGGAGGTTATGAATGCTCCATCCCTGGCAGTGTTCAAGACCAGGTTGGATGAGGCCTTGGGTGATATGATTTAGTGTAAGGTGTCCCTGCCCATGGCAGGGGGGGTGGAACTAGATCTTAAGGTCCTTTCCAACCCTAACAATTCTATGATTCTATGATTTTCCCTTCTCCACCTGCTAAGCTGATGCAAGAAGTTAAGTTAGGAGAGAAATAAACCTAGGGAGAGGAAGGGAAGCACTAACTCTTTGCCAGTGACATTCAGTGCAAAGGAATTGATGGGAAATAAAGATTTGGAAGCAGAAGTGGACAAGAAGCTTTTTCTGACTGCAAATAAACTGGTAAGAGAAACAGAACTTCTAAGTTTTACAGTGGATAGCTTCAACTGTCAAAATGCTTCCAAAAGGTGCCTTAAAAGGAAACGTGCAGCTCACAATTGGTACAATGGAGGCAAGAGAGAAATCACAGCACAAAAAATTAAGCAAATAAAGGATATAATGACTGTAAGACATAGAGTAACCAAATATGAAAGTACTGTACTTTGGGCTCAGGATTCAGCCAAAACACACAGTATCAGACGTATGCCTTCACAAGAGGGATTTACCTCTTTGGCATAAACTGCAGTGCAGATTTCTCCCAAATCCTCCATTTCCTTCCTGCTATGACCCACACAGACACTTTGACAGCAAGTTAAGCACAACTCACTCAAGCGCGGAATTCCTCACTCAAGCACAGGTTTTTTCCACAGACAGCTCCTGAATTTTAAAACAGGTGCCCCAATAACATAAGATGTGAAGGTGAGTTTGTGGGTCCCTTACCTTGATTCTGTTGTCTGTTGGACAGGACCAGCGAGAAGAGCCATTACACTGAGCTAAATCTGTTCCTGCTCTTTGGGACTGGCCTGCCACCTTTGGCACTGCATAGCCACTTCCATTTGGAATCTTTCCAGTTGGTGCTTTGGAATCACAGACCTGAATCAGGGGAAAACAAGTTGTCACTCCCTTTTTGTCAGTGACAAATAAGCAGGACTCAGGGTCAGAAATCCAATCTTCACCCTTAAGCCTTTTGTCCTTCCAATGCAAATCAGCAGCTTTGGCACTCTACGTTAATAACAACTGTCAGAAACGAGACAGATTTCAGAGCGCATTGTGACACCTGCACTGTGAGGCAAGAATAAAGACTTCCCAATCACACAGAGAAGGAAAGTAGAAAGAGAAGAGGAACTGGAATCACATCCCCTTGGCATAAGGCAGGTTCCTTTGGAAAGATGAGGGACTGAGCCTGACTCTTCTGCTGGAAGCTGCTGCCCAGAGAAATACACCTCCACCTGGGCAGGGGATGGAGCAAAAAGAGTTTTGGTCTCCCCAGTGTATCAGAGTAACTAAGTCAAGAGAATTACTCTATAGCTGGGATTTGTCAGCTTCCAAATAACAAAATGTTCCCTTCAGACATCAGTCTCTCTGTAAATGAAAAGATTAAGTTCCTTTCAGATATTAAAGTCTCATGTCAAGTCAAAGCAACGCCTAATTGCTCTTATGCAGTGACTGACCTGCAGTCTCACCTCTCAAAAGTCACGGCACAGGAAGGACTGAACAGTCGCAGGAGCTGCTGTTAGGTGTTGTGCAGATGTCTGAGGACTGACTGTTCTCTCCCTCTGACACCTCTGCCTATACTGCCCCTTTGCAGCTGGGTGACCTTCCTCTGAACCATTACTTACTATTACCTGGCCAACCATAAACATGTTTTACCTACACAAATGCCTGGTCCAGGCCATGCCCAATACGGGCCATACCCATACTCATGGCAGTGAGGAAGGCTTCCAGAGAAGGCTGGTCTTTGTCCCGACTGAGGACCCAGAAGGTGAATGAGTCACGATGGCTCAGTGGAACATGCATCAGCAAGCTGTCATCCCTCAAACCTTGGCTGAGCAACAGTCTCATCTGCAAAGCGCTCCAGCTCCCAGTCCACATAACAAGGGAGCTCTCTTTCACACATACCACATCAAGAACAAAACCAGCCCTGAAGTGAGAAATCTCAGCTAAAACCACAAAACCAAAGCCCAGAGATAAACCCCCTTCTTCTAAAGCCCAGTGTCAAAAAAAGTGGCAAAAAGCAACCAAAGGGCATTGACAAGATACTCACAGCTCCAGAATCATTTGCTGTGCCTGTCAGATAGGGCAGATGAGGTGTTTAGTACAGTGCTCCAAACACAGCAGCACTCCCTCCCCTCCGGCTGCAAACTTACCACACCAGGGCACTCCTCTTCTTCCTCTAGAAAGATCTTCTCTAGCACCAGGAAGGTCAGGAAACCAATGATCACCCAGAGACCCAGTAGTTTCTGCTGCTGAAAGCTCTGCTCTTCTGCAGGACAAGAGAGAAATCTTCATGACACTATCAAGTGCACAGCATCTCCCACGTGTGAGCCCATCCTGCCCCAGACAGTTTAACCAGCACTTCCAAGACATAAACAACAATGGAAAGACCTCCTGTGAGGAATAATGAGCCAACGTATCTCAAAGCAAATTAGTTTAACTTGCTCATTCTTGACCTAATAGATATCCTCATCTTGGAAACAGAGCGAGAGCCCCCTTTTGCTTCAATTGTGCAATCCAGAGCATTGCCTGACAACACTGGGAATTTCACTGAGCTCCAGAGGCAAGTGAAGGTTACATCAACAAAAATCCTGCAGCTGCAGCTATTGAACAGCAAGCCTTGACATGAAATCTGCCATTAGTGGAGCTCCAGACCCACCTTCCCCTTTCTGCCACACCTGCACAAGTTATGAAGCCCAAAGCTATAAACTTTCGTTTCAATTACAGCCAAGCTTGTGAGATAATCACCCATTCAGCCTGGCTGCAGACATGGAGACTGCACGGCAGTGGAAGAACAGAACGACTCTGTAATGGGGCTTACATGGGTCAAGGAAACCTTTATGCTTCGGGACAGCCTGGCAGAAGCAAACAAGCTAGAGCAGAAAAACAGAGTAATTTGGGAGCCACTGTAGAAAGGGGGGAAAAAAGCACAGCAAGTTCTGCTGGCAGTGCTAGAGCAGAGGAAGAAAAGGACCAAAGGCCCAGCAGATTTGAAATCCCAGGACACAGGAGCAAGGAAGCCTGGGAAACCCGGCGTATCCTCATCCCCTCTCTCATGTTCTCAGTGGGGAAATGATTCCTCAGTGTCTCAACAGCTGGGATGCAGCAGCACTTGCCTTCTATGCCATTGGTTTGCTGAAGCGGACAGATACAATCATTACAGGTTTCAACAATCCTTCTGACGGGTGAAGGAGATACACAGACACCACAAGCTATGTCCCAGCCCAAACAGTGTTCAGCTCATTGGCAGACAGAGGTTTCCATCACCTGCATTTCCTTTTTTCTGCATTTCCATTTTCCTTTTTACCATGGTTTTGTAGACTATTTTCCATGAATTCTCCTCGAGCAAAGACTGGGAGGGCAACACATTTGGGCTTCCATAGATGGAAATATCCAGTGGAGAGGCCCCAGTTAGTTCCAAGAAACAGGCTCCAGAAGCAACACTGTTATAGGGACAGATTTATAGACAAGATGGACCTGATGGGGCAGAAACTTGGGTGCACGTGTTCATGTACCAGACCACTCACACATTTATAACTTCCCATCAGGTTAAAGAAGCATCCCCTTTCTTTACAGAAAGGACCAAGGAAAACCAACAGAGATTTACAGGTGTCTAAAACAAGATAGGAAAAGTTGACAGACAAGAAATCCATCTCAAGGACAGAAACAAAAAGAAACCGTGGCCAATCTCAGAATCTTCAGAGGACTGCAGAGTACAAAGATGAAGTATCACACGTGTTTTCAAGATGGAATGTAGCAGTAGGCATAGCACAGACTGCTTCTAGGCACATAAAGCTTTCATACCTGTCGTTGTACTGCACGTGTAGGCCCAGGCTTCAGGAAGCAGGTGCAGAAACACATTCCCCAATAGCCCACCAATTGCAAAACTCAGCAACTGCTTCAAACGGTGTGATCCAGCTAAAAAAAAACCCAAACCAAACACTGATCACAACTCAGCAGGAGCCAAAACATCTCCAGCTGAGATTTTGCACAGAGGGACCTATATTAGAAGCATCTGCAAAGCAAGCTTTCAAAGGAGAGAGCACGGAACAAACAGCTGGAGTCCCTGCACCACTTGGCTAGGACATCAGTGAGTGGGAGGTTCTGGACCAAGCAGGGTGCAAAACAAACAATACCCTTTGTACAAGCTTCGTCCTGGGCTTGCATTTGTCCAAGGACTCCCTATCAAATTTGTAGGTATGGACTAAAGCATCAGAAAAGGACTGTCTGTTTTAGAGGACAGTATTTCTGTGACAAGGTCCTGTTCATCACCGTGTCATTTAGTAACAACCCAGGACTTGTGGCTTCAGAAAGGCTAAGGCGTGTAGCAGGCTTACCTTCTGACCGCAGAGCAGCTCCTGTCTCAAACGGGATCACCAGCAAGGGGAAGACCCCACTCAGCCCCACCATGAACGAACCGATGAGGGAACAGATCCAGGCATCCAGGCGCTCGACGCTGAAAAGGTTCCCCAAGGATGGTGTCTCCTTCTCACACAGAGGACCAGAACTTGCAGCAGCATGACCTGCCGGGATCTGCTGAGCTTCACAGGCCACGATCAGGAACAAGGAGAGCGTCCCGTCAAGCAGAAGCTTTTGCTTTGTCATAGCTAAGAGGTCTCAGCCGGGCTGGCCAATCTCTAAAGAGAGCAGAAGAGAGCAGTCCTGACAGAGTCCTGGAGATTCCCTCCCAGCATCCCAGAGGAAAGGCCTTGGTCACACCATCCCCTCCCTCAGCATCCTAGCACAGGTAACAAACATCTGAAACTCTTCCTGATTTCAACACAGCACTAAAGAACAGAGAGGCTGCTTAGGTGTATGAAACTGCACACGAAACATCTTTTAAGTCTGGCTTTCAGCATCTCCCCTCAGTGAGCTGGAATAAGGACTTCCTTATGTGTCCTGAGGCTTCAGTGAAAGGTATTGTCCAGAGATGCTACCCAGGTAAATCTTCTCTTTGCCACGGAACAGCATCCATGTAACAAATGAGGATGCAAGACAGGCAACCTAACAGAGGTCTGTGAAAGCACGAGTGGTGTAAAGATGGTGAACAGGGGTCAGTTATTCACCATCTCTTCAGATGTTCAGTACTACCAGCCACCACGTGAAGCCAGTGAGGCTTCAAACAAATGTGACCCTTCATCAGCACGTAGCTTGTGTGGTAGCTTCTCCAATGTGGAAAATTTTACATGGGTTACACAGAAACAGGACAAGTACTAAAGACAAATCTCTTGATTGCTTACGGTTAGACAGCTCACATCAGACCCAGGAAATACCCTTATCTGAAAGGAGCTGCATGAGTAGCTGGAAAATATCATATATACTTGTCCTATCTTTATTCTTTTGTGGAAGGGCATGGGTTAGATGGTCTCTTAGTCAAGACCAGCACAGCTGTTACTAAGAACTCTTCAGTCACAAGAAAACTGGAGAGAAGTGGGCATGTTAGAAGAGGTAAATAAGGATAATTACACTCTCACAGGCAATCAGGAAGGAAAAGCAAATGATGCAAAGGCTGAAATGCAAACACTCCTTCAGTCTCCAGAAGAAAGAATGAAATGTGACAAGCAAGATTAATTTGGAAATGGGAGAAAAGAGCAGGTTAGAAAAGAATGGCTTAAAAATGTTCACAGAACAGCTTTAGATTGAGAGGGAATAATGGCATTCACCTGAAGGCATGTAAGAAACCAGTCAAAGTAATCTCTGAAGCGTTAGTGACCATCTTTGAATAGGGAAGGCTACAGGAGGCTGGAGAGCATCATGCCTCACCTACCTTTATAAAAAGAAAAAAAAAGGTGGCAGAAGACTTAAGAAGTTACAGACCAGTAACTTCAATCCTCTGACAGACTCTTGATCAAGTTAAATGATCAGTTTGTAGTTACCTATAAGATAAGAAAGTAATAAAGATAGCAAAGCATTAAGTAACAGCCAGACAGAAAGGGGGCTGACACTATCAGGACAAAATTCAAGGTGCTGGAACCAACCTAAGGGCTCACTGCAGCCCAAAAGGGCAGCATTGCCCCTTGTCCCCCACTCCCTCATGAAGCATCAAAGCATCCCCTCCCCATGCTCACACCTGGCTCCATGAGCACAACAAACTAGCAGGAAAAAACTATGTATTTTTAAAGGCTTCAACTTTTCCCAGTTTCAGTCCCTGAACTAAATCACTGCAGGAGGAAGGCCCAGCTGCAGTGAGTAATCAAATATTAAAGGACAGGTCCCTGTGGCTCCTGTGGAGGAGAACAACGAGCTTCAAGCACAGTGAGCAGAGACATCAGGAGCAGGGAGGATGCAAGAAGGAACCACATTTGGTGGCAAGATAATGTCTGATCAAGTGCAAACTCTACTGACCCATACAAACCTCATCACTTTTCTTAAGTGTTACTATTTCACAAGGAAAAAATACTCTTAACATAGCAAGTTCATGGGTTTGTAGCATCTTGTTGCAGTGCTTTGATGTGGCTGCAGGAAACCAACTACCTATAGCATACCATGAAACAAGCTCAGCAAAGATCATACAGTACAGTATACTAAGTGAGAGAAAAAACAGGAACACCAATGTGCCACCAAAAAATGCACACATGCATTACACTGATTCAGAAATTAATTCCAAGGCAGTACAGCAGGCAAATGACATCCTGGAACATGTTATTGGCTCTGCATTGTAGGTGTGACGCAGAAGCAGTGATTCCATTCCACTCCACAGAGGTGAGACTTCAGCCAACAGCCTTTACCCACCCTCACTTACTCCTCTTTATAAAATAGATGAAAAAGATCAGAGACACTGCAGTGGAAAGAAAAAATCCAAGTGTAAAAAGCATGACCTGGGAAAAACAACTGAAGGACCTGGGTATGTTTAGTCTTAAAAAGATAACACTGAAGAGAACAGAATGGTCTGCATACAATAGAAATCACAAGAAAGGGGGAAAGTGCTCAACTCTTCCACGTTGTAGCATCAGCTCAAATAGTAAACGAGGTTCAGCCTGGATATGAAGAAACAAATTTACATGGTGCCAAAGTGGTGATACACTGAAACAGATTATCTGTGATGCAGAACTTCCAGCACCCGGATGGATTTTGTTCCTTCTTTTGAGGAAAAGAGTAAATACCTGATGCAGATGCTATTTCATTGCAAAGACTAAATCCCTTCCTGAAGTCCCTCCAGCCCTACACCTATAATTTGATGTAGACTGGTGGGATCCTTGTTCCACTGGCAGGACCCTAGGAAAGGAGGCAGGTTTTCAGCTGTCAAGCACTATCAGTACAACCACTCCAGGCTCTGAGCACTGATAATGACTATGAGGAGAGCCCAATGGGTCAGAGATGCTGCCCTGTGCCCAGCGTCACCCTATGAATGTACCTGGGAAGCTGCCAGGCCCTCTCACTCCCCTTACAGGGATGCAGGCTACCCCCAAAGCTACACAGACACACACAACTGTGGTAATAACTATGCCATAGAATCCTGCACTGGAAGCTCTTAAAATGTTACCTGTCCCCTACCATGGTACCTAATGGGTAGTTCTGTCCCAAGTACCAATGCAAGCTGAAGCTGTCAGCCACACAGGCATCTGTACAGGGAGGTGATGGGACTCTTCAAGCACATTACACCAGCCACAGCCTTCTCTCTGCTTACTCGCTGCTGCATAACAACCTGCAATTAGAGAATTTCCTGCTTTAAAAAAAGACAGGCACCCCTTCCAACTCCAGAGCAGGCCTGATGGACACCCTCTTCCTTTATGACTGTTTTAGACCTGGAAAATGACTGAGGACAGCTTCTTTGTAAGGAACAGAGAGAAAAGGATATTTAAAAATCAGGATTTATACAACCATGCCTGTGAAGAGGCAACAAACACACGCAGCAAAAGGACTGCTCTCTGCAGCTTGGCAATGATGGGAAGTGGCACAAACTGGCCTCTTCCACAACCCTGTTGTCACAGCTTTTGAGACTCAGTCTGGAAAAGTAATCACTGCAATTGACTCAACAAGTCTGTTCCTTTCATCTCCTTCTCCACCCCCAGCCCACAGCTGCCCCAGGGGACACCTGAAAGGGTCTTTAAGACCAAAATCCTGGAGAGAGAGGCAGTAGCACACAGGACAAGGGGCAAGCCCAGGGCTTCAAAACCAGGCTGCATACCTGGATCATGTCCTTCTCCCAGCAGTGAAACAGACCAGATTCCTCCAAAAAGGGGCAATAAATGAGCATAAAGGGGTAGAAAAACAATTCCCCCTATCACATTTGTGTTGGTCAACCTTCTGTGGCCCACAGGTCTGTCTTCTCCTGTTATTCAAGGGAAAACCAGTACATTTCTTGACACCTGTGATGCCTGACTGTCATTACCTCATGGCTCAAGAACATTCTCATATCTCATGTAATAAATTCCTGATACTCATAAAACATCTACAAGGAACTGGGGGCATCACCCATGACACACTGATCTGATCTTTACACCCAGCTAATTATTTAGAGCATTATCCCAGCATTTGCTTTTTTCCTAATATATCGTAATCACTTGCTCAACAAAATGCACTTCTGATCTCTATAGCCCCTTTGCTTCTCTATCACATTAGTACACACTCCTCATGAGATACTAACTTGACCTAACGGTTGTAAAGTCTCTCAATTCAAACCAGCTGCTCCTAAGACAAATATTTAAAAGGAAGAAAAGGAGCAGTTGGGATGTAGTCCTAGGACAAAAAAAGCTCAAGGGAGACAATAATACCCTGCCACTAAAGTGCAGAGGGTGGAAGAAGCCTTTACCTACGCCTGATTTTAGACAACAGCTTCTGGTTTAGGAACTCAGAGAAGGTCTGGAGAAATTTCTAGAGAAAGTACCTGCAGGTTCTCAGAGATGTCTGTGGTCACTGAGGCAGAGACACAGCCAGGTTTATAGAGATACATCCTTCTCAAGAAGAGTATAGGATCTATTTAAGGACATGCACAGGAGAGAAAACAGCCAGTGCATCATTTACTCGTTGGTTTTGACACCACTATTTGGGACCACAGCTCTCAGCCGGGTCAGATCACAAGCCTGGCGCCATTAGGTTAGATTTAGGTTAGACATTAGGAAGAAATCCTTCCCTGTGAGGGTGCTGAGGCACTGGAACAGGGTGCCCAGAGAAGCTGTGGCTGCCCCATCCCTGGCAGTGTTCAAGGTTGGACAAGGCTTGGCGCAACCTCCTCTAGTGGAAGGTGTCCCTGCCCCATGGCAGGGGGTTGGAACTGGATGAGCTTTAAGGTCCCTTCCAACCCAAACCATGCTGTGATTCTATAATTCAGGAGTCAGATCTGCTCAGCTCCTTCGGCAACAGCCTCAGCACTGGAATAACCATGAGGTCTTCCCAGCTCAGGAAAAACAAACAAATGAGATCTGCCATTTACACGCTCCTGTGTAGGGGCAGCCTGCACACCAAGGCAGAGGAGCTCCTGTCCTCCTCCCTGGTGGCTCTGTAGCAGGCAGTGCCTGAGAAAGCACGGACGAAGCTCAAAATGCCAAAGGAAAAACCTACTGGAAAAGAGAAAATAAAACACTGACACGACGATTCCTGCAGCCACCCACCTCCTCCCCTCCGAGACACTGCCTTTCCAGACCACACAGCTTCGTCTGTCTCAGCACAATTGCTCATTGCCACACAACGACATTTTAGATGTTGTTGGGGGGGGGAAACATGAAAAAGAAAAGGCTTTTTTACAAGTGTTTTCCCTGGAAGCCTGATTTTACAGTTGCAAAAGAGCACTGCATGGAATGGAAAAAAGTTTATTTTCCAGGGAGGAAGCATAATTTTCAGCCAAAAATTTCTCCACGAGCCACCTCCCCCCATTAGCCCTGTGGAGAGCTTTGTATTCCTCCTGGAAGCCCTGACCTCGGCTGAGGCACACGAGGTCTCCAGCTCCTCCCTGAGCATTCCTCCCTTAATCACTGCCCACCTTTAGGACCGCACTGCTCCGCTGGGACCCTTTCCCTCGTCTCTCTCATCAAAACCACTCTGCAGAGACACTCGACTACTGGAAATCATGCACATCGCAGCGGGCACTGCCAAAGGCTGGAGATGCACAGGATTAAGAACGATGGGGTGTCCAGATCACAACAGAATACAGACCCCGCGCAAACCTAAGAGCTGGCAAGGCAGGCAGTTAAAACGCTGCTCAAACACTGTTCGAAAGTAGTTTGCGAGACAGCGACGCCTTCCCCATCCTTCCCAGCACGACAGAGGAAAGTCTGCGATCGGGCAATGGCGTTCACCCCAGGGCTGGGTGGGATTTCTCCTCCCAACCCATCAACCGCGGCAGCCTGGGGCAGAGGCCCCAGCACACCCGGGCCCGGCTCCGGTCCGCAGGGGGTTAACGGCGGCCCCGCTCCTGTCACTGTTCCGACACCACGGCAGTGCTGAGGCCGTGATTTACCCCGGGCCGCTATTTCAGCCTCCCCCCAAGGCCCAGGTGCGGTCCCAGCGCCGAGACCCCCCCGCGGCTTCCAAAGCAAACACTTCCCAAACTTTCTCCGCTGGGGGGCTGAGCTCCCGGCCCCGGCGCGCCTGCTGCGGAACCCACACGGCAAAGGCGGCTGCACCGGGGGGGAAGACGCCGGTCCCGGAGCCGAAGAGGAGCCGGGAGCGGGCGGCGCGGAGCCCGCGGCTCCCCGCAGGAGCAGCCAGGCCAGGCACCGCGCTTCTCAAACTTGCCCCGCGCTCGGCCGGGCCGAGCCCCACCGTTACGGGACTCTGCTCCCTGCGGGCACCGCTGCCGGCCCTGCTCACCCCGTCCCACCTCAGCCCGGGGCTGAGCTGCGCGGCCAAACCCGGCCCCCACCGTTCCCCCTTCCCCGCCGCAACAGCGGAGCGGAGGGCAGCCCGGTGACCCCCGGCTCCCGCTCCGCCAGCCCCCGTTACCGTGCCCCGGTCCGCCGCTGCCATCCAGCCGCGGCTCGGCGCGGGCCTGCCCCGCCCGGCGGCCCCTCGGCTCCGCCCCCCCCCCCCCCCCCCCCCCCCCCCCCGGCCGGCCACGTCGGTCCCGGCCTCCCCGGCACCAGCGTCGCCGCCCCGGCGGGGACCCGCTGCCGAACGCGCTTCCGGCCACCGCCGCCGGGGGGCGGGCACCGGCCGCGCTTCCTGCCGGACCCCCCCTGCCGCCCGCTGCGCCCCCCAGCGGCCAGGGGAGGGAGGAGCGGCCCGAGCCCCGCGGGGTCCCGGGGCTCCCGGCCCGCAGGAGTCACCTCCGTCACGCTCCGCAGTGAGATCCCCAGCAGGAGCATGCGGACAGCGGGACACAGACGCGCGCTGTGCGATCCCGGCCGTCCAGAACGCGCCTGTTTTCACTTTGCCTTTTTACTGCGATTTTGACTGCCTGGACCTGAATTGTGTGGCAGCCTGCGCTGAGGTTTAGCCTTCAGGTGTTTTTACATAATGGAGCAACTCTTAAAACATACTCGCCTGCTCCTTACAGGTTCAGTACAACCTTCGTGATGACACGTGTGTAACCCCAGAGCTCCACAAGCACCAATATACTGTTAGTGGTGAAAAACATCCACGGTTCTGACAGAGGTTTGCGGAAACCTCGGACTAGGTCAGAGAAGAGCAGAGATTTACTTTACATCCAGGCTGAGCAAGGTTAGAGCTACCTGGTTTCCAGTACAGGCACTTTCCAAAACATACCGAAGGACTTCTTAGTTCCATCTTTTACCATTCTCCCTGCAACACAGAACTTGTTTCTCACTCCAGTTTTCGGAATGAATCCTATTCCCCAGGGAGGCGCTGCTGATGCTGACGCTTTCCTACGGTTTTGCCCTGGCCTCATTACATCATAACAATGTCATGCCCTGGAGCATGGGAATTCAGTCGGCTGCAGTCGCCTGCACTGGTTTAGCTGCTCTTTCTGCACTTGAGTAACAGGAACACAACCCTATCTACGACCACACTGCAAATGCAGCTAAAGAGAAGCTCTGCCTTTCTCACTTGCAAGCAGAACATTTATATAGAAGCTGAATTCCGAAAGGGAACTTTTAAAGAGAAAGTATTTTGTATTTCTGTTCTCAAATTGTAAGGGTCTTGTGTTCCACAGGGTCATACCCTAATTACCACGACTACAACAGGCTCCTCCTCAGGTATACCAAGCCACGCTGAGCATTCCAGACTGGTGCAATCAATGGTGGTTACAGAGTCTCAGAGAAATCAGTGGGAGTTTGCTTCTGACTTCAGTGCTGCAGGGTTTCAAGTTTTATGGCATCCCACCATAAGCCAGCACAAGAAGAACTCATGATGTAATGGGCACTCAGCAGCTCATGTCCCCAGATGGCAGCTGCTAACGCACCAATGGAGCTTTCCCATAGCTGGTGGCTGCACAGTGAATTTGCAGTGGTAGTTGAGAGATCAGTATGGCAAGATCAAGAGTCCAGCAGGATGGATCCATGAGCCAGTAGTTAGATG